GTTGGCCTCAGCCCAAGAAGCATTTTACAGAAAGGAAATACCCAGCCTAAAAAAAAAAGGTTAACATATAAAGACTTGATTAGTGGGAAATGGAGAGTTTAACATGAAAGCAAGAAGGTAATTGACTGCAGAGGAGATTAGTTTCAATAATTTTCATATTTATATATTTATCAAATGTATTGGCTAGCCATCTTACCACAGGGTAACTGTGGGCTATATGCACAATTAAAAGAAAGAATTGGGATAGATTAAAAAAAGAACAGAATATGACAAAACAAAATTTGAAAATGAAATGATGTACAAACGACGAGCCTATGATTGTCCAAAATGTATAAGCTTTTGTTAAGATTTGAAGAAGAGCAAGTTAAAAATGTATGACCTCCAAGGTCCCTTCCAACTCTGTTATTCTGTTATTTCTAAATGTGAAAAACATCAAAGGACGTTTTGTTATGCAGGGTGGCCTTGTGAAAACACAAAAAAGATATTTGACACAAATACTGTACATATATTGATGCAGAGTTTTAAAAATTAATATTCAGATGAAACTGGACCTGTTTTTACTAGGATTTATGGACAGCCAACTAGAAAAAGCTCATGGACAACTGGTTTTATATAAAACAACTATATCGAGGTTATTATATGCATAGAGAAGGAAGAACACAAAAATATCTGCAATGGAGGAATGGACTGTGAAGATGGCAGAGTTTGCAGAAATGATTGAATTGCCTTAACAGAGTAGCATAACAGAGTTGGAAGGGACCTTGGAGATCTTCTAGTCCAATCCCCTGCTCAAGCAGGAAACCCTATACCATTTCAGACAAATGGCTGTCCAATCTCTTCTTAAAAACCTCCAGTGATGGCGCACCCACAACTTCTGAAGGCAAGCCCTTCCACTGATTAATTGTCCTCACTGTTAGGAAGTTTCTCCTTAATTCCTGGTTGCTTCTCTCCTTGATTAGTTTCCATCTGTCGTTTCTTGTCCTGCCCTCTGGTTCTTTGGAAAATAGGTTGACCACTCTCTTCTTTGTGATAGCCCCTCAAATATTGGAAGACTGTTTGACTTGTTTGATAAAGGAGAGAACTACAATTGCTTTTATAAAATAGTGGAAACCCTTTTTGGACTTTTTGCTGAAAATGGATAAAATGAACAGTTGATTTGGGGATTTATTGATATAAACAGATTGGAAAGAAGGAAACCATAGTATGCAGTTTGGGAAGATGGAGATGGTAATTACTGTGTTAAGTAACTGCTGCACAGAAGACTTGAAGTTGCTGCTTTAGACTTTGCTTTTTCTTTCTCTTGTAATCTTTCACTTTTTAAACTCCTGTATATTTTCTTTCTTTTAATACTTTTTCTTTTAAGTTTCTGTAGGTTTTTAAGCCTATGTAAAATCTTTTTAAATAAACATTTCTTTAAAAAAAGAAAGAAAATTATCTTGTCCCCTGATTCCAAAATCTCATCCTAATGTTTTACATTTTCTTCTGGAAGCTTTGAAAAAGACAGTTAAATCACCAGAAACAGCATATCAAAATCTAGCTGCTTTCAGCTGATGCAATTGGCTTTCTAGCTCTATTACCACAGAAAATATGTCATCTCTTCTTGCCAAAAAAAATGTGTCACTGGCTGGGTATGCAGAGGCTTCAAATGGCACCCGCTTTTGCTGTTCCTTGTTTACATCATGCAGTGGGAAGCAGTCATCCATCTTCACCTTCAACTGATGGCATTGATCGATTTCATCTTCATTTTTGCCAAGATGAATAAATTAGGTTGCATAATGAGTATAACTGTAGCAGTGTGGATATACTGCCTCTGGGGACTGACAATGACAAATGACTAGGAGGTGTTGCTTTTGAAGGCATTCTTAGGCTTCGGAAGGTTCTGGGGAGATTGGAAGAAATTTGTCTAGGAAAGCAGGTAATCTTCAACACATACATAATGTATTATACACACATAATGTGCCTGTCAAACACTCTGATGATTTAGGTGGGGGCCGGGAGAGAACAGGAATTGCAAACAGGCCAACTCTTTGATAAAGCAAATGTTTAAACTAATCTTCCCTCACAAATGAAGGCGAATATACGTGTCCCGGGATAATGTTGCAGGATCCAATCTGGGTCAGTCACCAGGACCAGAAGTTTTGTCTTCTGAGCTTTCGGACACTTGCTGGAGCCCATCCTCAGGGAACTTCTCTCTAGCAGAGTCTGTGCTTTGGGCTATTCTGTGGGTGGTGTTTATATGGTGCCTGTCTTGTGTGGTTTTTTTCAATCTTCCCTGATCTGGTACTCAATCTGGTACTCAATGTGCTCAATCTTTACTCAAGACTCCCTATGGCACAGTATTGGTTGGGATACTTGTCAGCTGAAGTCCAATACATCTGGAAAGAATTAAGAGTAGCCTGCTGCGGCTGTTACATATAAGCTGGGTTGACAAGATCAGAAATGAGGAGGTGATAAGCCGCCAAGGGAAATCATCAAAACAATTAAAAAAACGAAAATTAGAATATTTCGGACATGTGATGCGACACCCAGAAAAATACGGCATACTCCATTTAATCCTCCAGGGAAAGATTGAAGGCAAACGAGGTCCAGGCAGAAGAAGAACATCATGGCTTCAAAATCTAAGGGACTGGTTTGGACAAAACTCAGCAGCACTTTTTCGTGTGGCTGCTGATAAAAACAGGATCGCCAACATGATCGCCAACGTCCGATAACGGATATGGCACAAGAAGAAGAAGCAAAAAAATAATACTGCAATGTGGAGATTCCTGCCCATCCAGCCCTCTTTCTTGCCATTCAGCATTCCGTTTCATCTCTCCCCTATTGGTCTTTCTGAAAATCTTTTAAAAAGAAATTTATAGAGCTCAAGATGCTGCTCCCCCCACTCCAGTTATGTATGGCTTTGGATTACATCAATATCAGAAACAAAGAGAATGTCTTGCACATAAAATGCCTATGTGTGCTTTGTGCTCCATGCAGGTAATCCTTAAGACTAGTCTACTGTCTACATCAGGGGTAGTCAACCTTGGCTCTTTTATGACTCGTGGACTTCAACTCCCAGAATTCCTGAGCCAGCTAAGCTGGGTCAGGAATTCTGGGAGTTGAAGTCCACGAGTCATAAAAGAGCCAAGGTTGACTACCCCTGGTCTACATATACCCCTATGGTCACATGACCGCATTTCAAGTGCTTGGCAACTGGCTCATCTTTACAACGGTCATGTGCCTATGATTTACAATGTTTTTTGCCAGTTTCTAGTCTTTCTGGCTGCTTTCTGGCAATAATTGGGCATAGAAATATACTGATTCACTTAATGACTGCAGTGGTTGCTTAAAGACTGCTGCATTCACTTAACAACTGTGGCGTTCGTTTAACAACTGCCCAAAAAAGTCATAAAATTGGGTCATGGGCTGCCTTGATTTACAACCATCATGACTTACAATGCAAATTATGGGCTCCATTACAGTGATAAGTTGAGGACTACCTGTAAATACTGAAAATAAAACATGCCACATCTATTTTAACTCTGTCAGTCAGCAGTGATGGAAAAGATGAATTAAAGATGAAAGGAAAAGGCAGGAAGGGTAGACCCAGAAACCTAGAATAAATAGCTATGTCTTAGAGACAAAATCAGTCATTCTGCTGTTAGTCTTCATCAATGTCACACTAAACTCCACTACTAGCGACAGCTTTCTGTTTAAAAAGAAATGTGGTAGATCACAAAAACAATGTCTTCTAGTGTCTTTAAATAGACTCATTCTTTGGCCTTCTCAGGGACCTTTGACAATGTTTGAAAAATAGAAACAAACACGGGCAGAGATCAGAGGAAAATATGATGATACTTGCAGAAGATAACCACAGATTGAATTAGAAATATGGGATAAAGGAATCTTTATTAGTATAATTATTCTTAACAGAAGATTGAATAGCTTGTCTTTAAAACAGCTCTGTGTGTAGGTACACTGGAGATACCTAATGGCTTCCTGTTTCATATTTTCAAAATTGCAAATTTCTGATCTCCCAAAATCAGGGACCCCTTTTTTATTTACTACATTTCATTGGCTTTCATCACAGCATGTCTTAAACAACTGAATTTTCCCTTATTGATAAATTTACATAGCAATATAAAAATAGTTACTATTATTACAAAGGAATTAATCAACCCACACCTTGTATATATTTGGAAAGGTATGTCACAGGCCTGACTATGAACCTCTTTCATTTCATGGTCATTTTGCCTTGACAATTTATATTAAAATACTTTTCTTCTAGGCACAAATATAAATATATCTGCCAACTAAGAGCAATAGACAAAGGAGACTTGACTTAATGAAAGCTGACGCCACAATACATCAGCTAGTTTTTGTGGTCCAGCGAGAGTGTTACGTGGACGGTTGGCAGTTATCAATAGTGTAGCAACCACACATTCTTTGCCTGCATTAAAATATTGAATTGCTTGCTTTCCGCTCTTATGTGAGTCCTCTGGGAAACGCTACACACGTCATCCAATAAAATAATAATCAGCTAGCTACCGCCACAGAGAAAACTTCCACAGATATGTGCCAAAGCAGATGCACCCAAAAATGATGGTAGAAAGAAATGGAAGGGGCAGGTGGTAAAATTATGATTCAGATACTGGTAGCTAGGAGGAACGCTTGCATTAATTATTAGGAATAGGCTGGATGGACCTTTTTGCATTGCTGAACTAAAGTCATTCCCAACAGACATGTCCCAAAGGTGCTTTTTCAAAAGGCAACTGGACTGTCTTTGTTTTTTCTCTTGAACACATTTTGTTTCTCATCCAAGAAGCTTCTTCAGTCATAACTAAAGAAGGTTCTTGGGTGGGAAGTGAAATGTCTTCAAGAGAAAAAACAAAGACAGTCCAGTTGCCTTTTGAAAAAGCACCTTTGGGACAACCATGACCTGGATGACTGAGAATCTCCATAGACATTCCCAACTGACATAATAGCTAGCCATCAGAACGGGTCACAAAGAGCAAACTTACCGCAGCATCCGAGATAGAGACTCGGTGGGACTCTATTGTTGGCCTCCTCCCTGTTCGTGGTGAAATATGTGTGGAGGGTCCCGTGGCATATGGACCAAAGTCTGGAAGATCAGAGGAACTCAAGTAATTCCCAGTACTCTTTTCTTGAAGGGAATACTTCCTGCCAGTCAAAATGGGCCTTTTGGGGACCTTCTTTGGCTCATGTAGCTCATTGGTGTCATCCAGTTCTTCAGAGGTTCCTGAATCAACACTGACCCCATTCCTTTGGTTGTTTTCAGCTGTGCAATTAGATAACAGAACAACAGTTTCTTCTATTGCTTCCTGACTATTTGGTTTAATTCCATTGGGACTAGCTGTTACAGTGATGGCAGCTACTCTCTCGGCAAGCTCCATCTGAGCATCTTTGCAACCCATGTCTGTGGCTTGACCAACAGACTCTGCTATAGAATCACCCATAGTTGACTCCTGGCTTTTTATGTTATTAGATGATGGTGTAGGCCATCGGGACTGAATAGTTCATTTGAAGAGTCCAAGGTGGGGGTCTTGGCCACATGGATCTCTGGAAAGAACTGTAATAAGGAAAAGAGAAAGCAAAGAGGAAGCCATTATTTTTAAACCCAGGATAGCAGGAGTAACAAATTGGTACCTTCCAGATATTTTGGACCACAACTTTCATAATCCTTTGTCACCAGTTATTCTGCCTAAAATTCATGAGAACTGAAATCCCACACTTTTGGAGGGGGCTAGTGAACTGCTGTAACGATATATTTGCATTTCTTCCATTTTCAACCCCAACCCCCAACCATCTTGATCTATCTGTTATAACCTGTCTCATAAATATATTGCTAGCCCTTTTTTTTTTAACCTTTGTGGGGTGCTAACATATTTCTGGAACTTTTTTCTCCAATCCAATATTGGAATGGGACAATTTGCCATAGCCAACTTGCCGCAGCCAACTTGCCATGGCCAACTCACCACGGCCAGTTCGCTGCAGCCAACTCGCCGTTGGACAACTCACCATGGCCAATTCGCCACAGAACAACTCGCTGCGGGACAATTTAACAATTTTATTTCATTATTTAAAATAAATAAAAATTGTTTTAATTTTTGCCATTCACATTTCATTCTGTCCCCCCTTTTGCGTCCTTTCTTTAGTGATTCTATTCTACCATTTCTTTGATATTAGTGTAACTCTTGTCCCGCACTGAGTTGTCCTGTGGCAAGTTGGCTGCGACAAGCTGACTGTGGTGAGTTGGCTGCGGCAAATTGTCATAGACGCTCAATACTTTCCAAATGTTGACATCCAATCTATCTGAAGCTCACCAGATGGAGAAGCTGCTCTAGAAATGAAAACACAAGGTTGGGAAGAGGTGGATCCTACTTCTATTACACGCTCCCTTAATAAGGCGAGTCCCAAAAGGAAGACCATAAACCAATATGGTTCATCATTCTTCAACTACTAAGTGCTTACAGGAAACTCACAAACAGGGAATGGAGGACAATATTTGCTTCCTCTTCCCTAGGAGCTAGTATTTAAAGAGTGTGGGCTATGATTCGGAAGCTGGTATCAAGACTTTGTTACAAGGGTGATGAGTGCACCATTGGGAGACACAAAAGAACAGGTAAGAGATAGAGCTTTTTGGCTAGTAGATAGTGTAATCCTCCATTAATTTATTGAGACTCCCTTTTAAAATAAAACATTTTAGCTGGTGGTTGAAGCAACAAATTTTAAGAACAACAAATTCTACAGATGAACTCTGGGTGCTATAAATATTTTTTTCCTTTTATTAACCTTGATTCTTCCTACAATACGTCTCAGTGGATGATCCCATATCATCCAGAGGGAGAAAAACGTCTCTTCGTTCACACTTCCATACCAGGCGTGATTTCATGTATTTCATAGCTTCCACTAGGCCTGTCCACCATCCATATGTGTGGATAGGAACCCCAGGATTCCCAGCAACAAGTTGAGGACCACACCATTTGAAGGACTCCTAGAATAGGACAGAAAAGTCTACTCTTTGGGGTATCTTAAAAAGCCACAAGTGCTGTAGCTTTTTTCCTACAGGAGCTGTGTTTATCCCCATAATCTACTTGGTTGCCTGCCTGCACAAATCTTTAAAGCACCAGACGCTGTACAGCCATTTTACATGCTGCAGAATGCTAAGATTCAGGTATAATCATCTGTTAAGTTAATGCAGTTGCTGAGGACATATTTTGCCAGAAGGAGAAAAGATAGCTTTTAAAAGCTGTATGAAGCCATAGAGATGCTGCAAAAAAGCACCTCTGAATATAACATATACAGGTTGAGTTAACCTTCACAGCAAGTAAGTAAGGTGTCAAGTGCCTTTGAAAAGAGATCCTTAAAATGACAATTGGTGGGAGGTGAATGAATTGGTTTGCTTTAAGGCAAGGGTGTCAAACTGCCAGCTCGCGGGCCGGTTGCATCATGCTGAGGCCGTGCCCACCCCAGCTCCGGCAATGCGGAAAAAGTCACAATACGGCACGACACGTCATGTGACGTGACGAGTTTGACACCCGTGCTTTAAGGGCTGAGGTTCTTCACCTAAAATGATTTTAGAAGGAAAAGACTTTCAAGGGCAGAAAACTATTTCCCCTTTTGATCTTTTTGTAAATACCAAATCACTGGTTATGCCTCAGGAATTAGCTGCATCGCTCCCATCTTACCTTCTTCTTCATAGGTACCTTGCCAGGAACTGTTCTATCACCAGTCAAAATGAAGTGGGCTGCTTCATGTAACCAATAAAGGAGAATATTTGTAGCTCAGGGGTCCTTGGTGCTCTCTGAGCTTGGTTGTTTTCTTGCAGACGTCTCATTACCAAACTAGCTAACATCATCAGTGCTGACCATTGTTCAGCGAATATGCAAGAAAACAACTAAGTTCAGAGAGGACCAAGGAGCCCTTGTTTCATGTAAGAATTGCTGGCACTGGTGCTGTTCTAAACAGTTGTAGCTTCCCTATTTTACCCACCTGAACATGTAGAAGTAAGAGTTACAAGAACTGGGATGAGGCACAATTTTGTCCTATATCCCAGGCCAGTGGTGGCGAACCTATGGCACGGGTGCCAGAGGCGGCACTCAGAGCCCTCTCTGTGGGCACGCGCACCGTCGCCCCAGTCCTAGGCCTTCAGCTGGGTTTTATAAAACCTTTTCGCTTTAGGCCTCCGCCACCATGTGCAAAAAAAAAAAA